GATTCCAGCACAGAGCACAGCTGCTTCCAGACAAGGCTGGTTAGAAAATCAGTACAAGCAGGGTCAGGGACAGACTATTTCATGTAAGCAAAACAAGAAAGAACATGGAGTGAGCCAGTAAATTTCAGGGAAGCGGGCCCCAAATACAGCAAATGTGAAGTTTGAGAGGGGTCTGAAGAAACAGCATGCCCGTGTGACTACAGATTAACAGAAGGAAAAACAAAGCACCAGCATAGCTGAAGGAAACTGCTCCCAAAGATCTGCAGCACCAACAGACAGGCTTTGCAGGCACTACCACTACTCCCTCCAATGCTGGATTCTTGATTTCTCTTTCAGCTATGCCCCTCCCAGGCTTCTCAGCTCAAATAAATGTCTCTTATCTTCAGGTCTGCCTGTTTACTGAAGACTGACAGGTGTGGTGACCTGCTTTATGGATATTAATTCTGGCAGGACACGGCTTAACTTACCAAAGTAATACATCACAGAGACTGTTGGTAGGAACAGCTCTCTACCAGTAGCAAAAAAGAGAGTCCTCTGAGGAGTCAAGCTGACCTGAAGGCCCTGTCTGTGGCTAAAATCACATGGAAAATTCCTAGTTAACTAAACAATCCCAGCAGCAGATCAAGACTACTGGATAATCTACATCTTGTTTTTCCCCTTGACTGGTTTTCACAGAACCAGAGTTGTGTTGTTTGGAAAGGAGGTGGGGAGGTCTCCTGTCCAGACTCCCATTTGGAGCACAGCTATCACCAACATGAGTGGCTGGCTCTGTCTTCCCTCTCTTTGTGGACTACAGCAATATATGACCATGCTATCTCCCAGACTGTACTTAAATACAGCCAGAATATGCAGTACAGAAGCAGTCAGTTACCCTCTCTGTACACGGTGTTTGGTATCCCAAAGAGCCTGTTCTCAAAGTTCAACCGTGTTAAACACTCAGGCTGTATGGAAAACTACAAGCACCTTTTGGGCATAACCTGCCTAGATTGGCTAATTACGTATCCCTTCTCCCTTCTTTTTAGGTCTCTATCATCTTGGTTCATATATGGCTGAATGGAAGTGTTTGCAAGTGAGAAAGGGAAGCACATTGAGCCTCATACAGCTGCCTGCTAGACCTATCTCTAAATTACATATAGAATGGTTTCATGCTGCTCAGACCATAAGTATTCAACTCCTTATCAATTCAAGCTAGGAATTATGAAATAAAGCAAGGAGACCTCCAAATCATACTGATTGCAGTCATAAAGCATTTTGCTGAGTATGCAGCTCTCTGGAAAGGCGTGTCACACTTCACAGCCGGCCTGCAGCCTGGGACCTGCACACCACCCCAAACCTAAACACAAGCCACAGTGAAGCAATTCCGGCTTATCAGGACACCTCTGGTTCAACAGAGGTCCATTTGGCTACATGTGCTCTTTCAAAATCAACATCACTGAAACAGGGAACATAAGCACAGGAGGTCAGAATCACCTGCAAGTACTTTACACCAATGCGAGACCATTGCTACCATTCACTTCAAACAGCAGAAAACCACCATTAGCACAAAATCAGCCAGGAAAGTAGGCAGAACCCCTCCCCCCCCCATCATATATCTGCAAGCAGCATCACAAGCTTTACAATTAAGATGTGCAGTCATGACCACACCAGGTTAAGACTGCAGGAGCAGGGCATGGGGCTACCCACGGGTGCCTGTGAAGTGAGTGGCCACAGAGGAGACAGTTCCTGAGCCTTGCAATCATCTCCCTAATCAGAACCCACCCAGAGGTCACCTCTGCCATAAAGAGGTGTCCAAGGCTCTTGTCATTCATTTGAAAAAGACTTTTTTTCATATGAGGCCACATTGTGCAAAGAAGTCACACCCCTTCTGTTTATGGAACACACCCTTTAAGCTACTTCAGGCTTTTCTCCCACCCCACCAAGTCCTCTAATTTGAAGAGGGCAAAAGCCAGTCAAGTGTTGGAGGCTGTGAATGTGAAATGACCGACCCAGAAAGAACCTAAGAGGGAAGCAGCTTCTCAACCTGCAAAGCCTTGTCTGCATCCATACTTGCAGCTAAGGCCACAGCTCAGCACAAGGCAGAGCAGAAGCGTGTACTGACCATCACCTGCCTGCTTCATGTATCTCCATCTGGTGAATCCTCCTGGTAAGCCACCACTGCTACCCGTGGGGCTGCCAAACATGAAGTACTTGAGAGAGGGCTAGAATGGACTTGGTTGCAACAGACTGATGTTTTACATTTTTGCCTGTTTCAAAAGCCTGCAGTCAGTAACTGGGTCTCCTGACACCTACCCTCCACAGGTAAAACTTCCAATTTTTTTTATAAAGGGCCTGTTGGTTGTAATTTTTTTCCCCTAGATTAGACAGAACATGCAAAGATCTTACCTAGCACAAAATTCTTTCCAGAGGAGACAAAAGTTCATTAGTGGAATAAAAAGGGAAAAGGAGGACTTAAAAACAGCCATGGGAAGATAGGGTGAGGGAAAATGAGTGAAAAAAACATTGCTTTTGCAAGGCCACCAGAGTGGTGAAGAAGACCTTCAGTAAAGTGCTGAGAGCTTTCCAAGAACTCAGCTCAAGGTAAACTGAGGTTTTTACTTACTTCCACTGCTGAGAACAGCCCCCTCCTCTCACTGCAGAGGTAATTTCCAACAAAATACGGAAACAGCCGCCTTGTTAAACTCAATTATTAAGTTACCTTATCATAAGACAAACACAGGAGCAATTTCTGTGGACAATCGACCTGCTGTGAGTTGCCCCTGTCGCTGTACCTCACTAGGAGGTTGATGGAAGGGGTACAAACTGTTGTGACCTCTTCTTCCCAATTTGCTCAGATATTTGCTCATCGAGACAGTGAGGCTATTGCTCTTTAACCTGTCTGAGAAACTTTTTTGCCTAACATAACCCCAAGATTCTGTGAAACCCTCTCACATTCATATAAATACATATTAAGAAACCTACTTGAAAGCACTCATGTTGAAATTAGCCTGCAATTCCTTTGTTTAAAGTTTGCTACTGTTCTACAAAGGCTGTCTGCAGTAGCGGTAGAATTGCTCAAGTACAGCTCCTGAAATGTGACATAAAAAAACAACAACAAAACAAGGGCTCTTATTCTATCAACAGGGCAATGTCTGCATGCTTTTCTGCTGCATAAAAACGAGATTGTTTTGTTCATAGTTGTCAATTAGTTTTTCCAGCATGAGATGACGCCTCTATTAAATTAAAATATTCATGAAAGCAGATGCACTCAGCAAGCTTTTCTGGACGAACAAATGAGATCCATCTGAAAAAACAGTTTGGCTGAACACAAGCATCATTAGCAGAATCACCATACCACTTTTTTTTTCTCTCAAACGCTTCCTTTCCCTGTGGTAGAATGCATCCAGGAAAATTTATCCTGTTATTGAGTGCTGTGAACTAGTCATATGCAAGAGATTTAAGCCACCCAGCCATGGCAATGTTGCTTGTCCACCAGAGAGGACTAGCAACATGAGCTGTGCTGACACCAAGACTCCCAAGACTGCTGAAATCATCTCACGCTTTTTAGACCAAATTCAGTACCTGACATGTTTCAAAATGCAAAATTATTTTAATAAGTTTGTTTACATTTCAAGCAAGCCAGCAAACTTTGTTAAAATTCACTTTATCTCAAAATCACAGACTCAAATATTCTGTGAAAATAGTTACAACTTACATTAATCCAACTTAGACAAAATAGCATCTGGAATGATTTTACTGACTTCTGCAACTCACTGACAAAAACCCCACCAACCTACTCAAGTAGTAAACAGAAACCAATTAATATTTAAGCCTTATCTCAAAATATCTTTTTGAAGTTATTTAACAAAAATAAACAACTCTGTACTTAAAATAAACGATGTAAAATTACAAAGCTCTTATGCAACCGGTAGTATAATCTGTAACAAGCAGAAGTTTTTCCTTTGACTGCGAGCCTGGTTACAGACCTGTAAATAAAAGACTAGTGATAAAGTCTCTGGCAGCCAACATGCCAAGGGGAGATCTGCTGAGCTACACTCATTTTCATCATAGAAACCTGCACACAGTAACTCAGGGACAAAAAAAAAAAGTAGCAAATTACCACGGTTATTCAGAAAAGAGAATACTATGGTTGCTACGGTGAAAAGTACATCTATAAGAATTTGTACAAAACATGGGCTGACAGATAAATGGTATTTTAGGAGTAGAGCACATCAGAGGTTTGGATTTTACCCTTCTGAAAATCCATCAAATGTGGATGGAAAGAAGGAAAAGAAACTCTTAAGTTCAACAAAACTCTACAAGTAGAACAAGTATTTGCTTTCAGGGGAAAAAAAAAAAAAAGAACATCATTCTAAAGCAGTTAAAGCAGTTGTGACTGTCCAGATCTGTGACTCTGGAAAGAAAACATATGAAGCAAATGAGAATTAGCCAATACTTCTCCCTCTTACATGAATTTAAAATAAAAGCTTTCACATTTCCATTGATGCAATTTAACAGTCAGAAGAGCAAAGGGGGCTGGGACAAGTTTGATTAGTCAACAGTGAATGTTCTTAACAAAGCTTTATTAACTGGTTATTTTGCTTCCTGAATCTAAAGTGGTAGAAAGAACGAACAGTAATACAGGGATAGCAAACTAACTTTTTTTTTTTTGATGAAGAGCAACCAAAATGCATCATTCTGCTTTTCAGAGCAAGCCATTCTAATGCAAAGCTGATCACATTAATGTTGTAACTTTGTAACAGTGCATGGAGACAAAACAAATTAACACTTTGGCCTCTTTTGAATATCATCCTATCTGAGGCCTGGGAAGTAAGCAGAAGTTGTCAGTAATTAGCTGTGGCCTTTACTAATAAAATTATATTAATCTTCCAACGTTAGATCTTGAGATAGAGGTGGCAGAAGCACAAGAAGATACCAAAAAGAGTTGAGCATGTTTTTAGCTATGAACCAGAAGCTTCCTGTTTTATGTAATAATCACAGAGCATGAGATTTTGACGATCTGGCATGTTTTGAACTTACTTTTACTTCACTCATGTTTAAGCCCAAATGGCTGACAGCGTCTAAAAGTGGCATTAAATGAAGGGCAGCTATGAGTATAGCAGGAGTAGGAGATGTGATCCTCAAAGTGAAAATCTGAAGAATCTTCTCTTTTAAAATACATGTTAAAAAAAATACTATCATATTGCATTAACAAAATTTTTATTCAATTCCCAGCTCTTCTATTTGATGGGGAAGGAGACAAACATATCCCTTAAAGATAAGCCCTGAACACCAGAGTACTTCTCTACTGCTTTAGAATTGATGAGCATGCTCCCATTTCTCCTAGACTTGGTAAAAAAACCAAAAAAAATTGGCAGGAACTCCTGGAAGAGTGCCTTATCAGGAAAGGCCAGCCCGACCACTTGCTATTTCAGTTCTTCCAGCAATGGCTTATTTGTGTGCAATGAATAAGCAGATGCTAGATATGATTAGAGCACAGCACAGTGAATAAATACTACCCACAGGCTGGGGTGGAACGGCAGCAATCCATCTTTGCAGGTGTTTAAATTACGTGCTCTCAAAAGCTTAGGGATTCTGCACATCACCCTTAGTTCTAGCAAAGTTTGAAAAAACAAAAATCATTGGTATAAAAAAAAAATTGCTGTAACAGGCTTCAGAGAGCTTCCACACTCCTCTTGGTTTCAATGGAGATGGTTAGTTAAGGTGCTTTAGAATTCTGCATGGCAGACGAGCTGGCAGAGGTGGCTGTTTAATAAGCTCTACTCAGTCTTCTGTGGGTATCTGAGGGCAGTTCCTGAGGCAGAACCGCTGAACTGCTAATTTCTGTAGCGGGGCATCTGTGGAGCAGGGGCTCCCTCTAAGGGGGCTGAGGAGGAGACTGTCATCAGCTGTCCACCATGAATCCTCTCGTTCACTCGCAGGTCACAGCCATCCTGCAGCATCCTTATAGCTATCCTTGCAATGTTTTTAGAGTCATCAAGTCCACTGTGAGGTCTCCCATCATAATTCATGCCCAGCTTTTCAAGCATGATTGTCAGCTTGGTCTGGTTCCTAGGAACCTGGTGGAGAAAGTGAGGAACATTCAAGGATTAATTTCTGTAGCAAGTCTTTTTAATCTAACACAGTGCAGTAGAAACACATGCAGATTTTAAGTCTACTTAAGTCACATATACTTTCATGTTGCCTTCTGTCAAATCACTAACCCTTTAACTTCAAAGTACCTTGGTGAGACAGACACTCTCATTTTCACAGAGGAGACACAGTCAACAGGAGCTTGTCTAGACTCAGGATGATGTCAAGAGCCTCTCACCAGCACCAGCTCAAGATGCACCTGCACTGGCAAGGGTGGAAGCTGTGGCCTAAACAGGTTTAACAATCTTAATAAAAAACAAATTACCACCCAATGTGGCATTGCAGAGGGAATCAGATTTCGGTTTTCCTTTTAAATGCTGAGTGATTAAAGAAGCACCAGGCTCCTGATTCTCACTGACATCAAGCTCCTGAATGCCTCCAACCACCACAGGAACAGGTCAGCAACACCTACAGCAGCCCACGGATGACCAACAGCATGAACAGATATGGACACTTAACTGACTTACCCATACAAAGTGCAACACCAGCTAAAGCCCCGAGTATTCTCTTAGCTAACTACTAAATACATACTTGTTCTTTTGAAACATCGAAGAAAAACAAAGGATAACTTTAAATGAAAACTTCAGCCGTCTCTTTTGGTGATGGTGGTGTTTGTGGTGGGGGAACATGGGCCATGACAAGTTCCAAGATATTGCACCATACTACTGGATTTAATAGCTAGGCAGAATGGCAACAGCACAGTTGCCAAAACCTGGCAGCATGCAACTCTAATAATAACACAAACAAACCAGGCAGGGGACGCGTATTGCAGGGTGTGGGATATTCCACAGGAAAGCTACAGAACATTCCTTGTCATCGATTTCATCTATTAACAACAGATTCAACAGCAGCATGGAATAGCTAAACAGAAGCACTGAACAAGTATAAATGCTACAACTGTTTACATATATTAAAAAAAACAAACAAATCACAAAAAACTGATTCCTTCCAAGTTACAATCCTCATTGCCTCTGATGATGTCTTAATAGAGCAGGAAAAAGAAAGTTTGTCTAGGTTAAAGCTGATAGGATTAACAAAACTGTTCTGTGTCCTAGCATGTTTCCAACAGAAACCATCATGCAGAGAAGGCACAATAATAGAGGGAGAAATGGAGTAACCCTGTAATATTTGCTCAGCATAAAGTAAAGCTCTTCTCTTATTAAATGTCAACCTCTTTTTCATCTAGAGGTTACATTTAGTATGAAAAAGCTCTTCAAAAGAAGATCAACAGCAAGGCTGAAATCACATTCAAAAAATTGGTTTAGTGTAGGCTGACTAGGAATTTGCTAAAATCTCCAACAACTCATTTTACGGTAATCTGACAGAAAGCAACAATAAGGTCCAGCACTGAACTTGGTATTACTTTTCTCCTGACAATTTGATTCCACTGTAGATATATCCTAATCTTTCTCTGTCCCTGTTATACTGTCAAGAGTCAAGATTATCTGAGGGTAGTGGTGCAAATTAGTTCTGTAGTGTATTACACGAAAACCAGAAAAAATAATTGAAAAATCAATATAGAGTCTTTTCAGCTGAACTACTTTAAGACACGCTTGATCCAAGAGGGTCAGTAAGATGTTTTTATTCAATCCTCCATGGAGCATATCCTAACTCTTAAAAAACAAGATTAAAATCAAAATGCAGTAGATTATATGATTTTCAATTACTGAAGTGAAATCTGGACATGAAACACATTTGAAAATCAGACCCCCAGCAACTGGTTTAAGTACTATAATTTTATACTACACAGAGATGACAAGCACAACAGGACATTCTAGACTTTGAAACGAAATTTTCCCGTAAGAGAAACAACAATTTGTACAAACCTTATAGAAGTTCCCATATGATTTGCGAATATTGATCCACTTTTTGGCAAAAGAAGGGTATTTGATACGGCTAATACGGCACTGGATGTTGAAAAATTTACTCATATCCCAAGATCTTAAAAAGTCAAAAGAGAAAAACATTAGGAATATATAATGCCATACTCGATATAATGCATAGCTGTAGCACTAAAAGCTGTCTTGTCTCTGGTGATCAGGAGAAGGAAAACAGGTTAGGAAAAGCTCTTTTGCTATAGTCATGGTAAAGAACTTTTTTAACATGAATTTGTTAATCATAGGGGGAAAAAAAAATGACATGAGCAAGACTTTCATTAGGATGGTTTCAGGTCCAGGATGTTAAAACAAAAAACAGCATGCCCACTACTCCACCTACCACATCTACTCCAAAAACTGCCTATAAATTAGATGCTTATGCAGCCCTTGGGGAAAGCAAGCGACACCTTAAATTTTCCTGATTACTTGGGTACACACACATCTCTCTAACTTCATGTACATTATTAAAACAACACTGCACTTAGCTGTATGAGAAACCAGATCTTTATGAGAAGATGAAACTGTAATCCTATGCACTTGTGGCCTGCTTTCCTGAAGAGAACCACCCCAACAAGTTTGTAAGCTTCAAGCAAAAATAAAGATTCTTTCCTTATCTCTTTCAGCTGTTTACACAATCTCACTTATATGACAGAGATTTCACTGCACTTATTTTCCTAAAGGAATTTCAGTGAGAGGATTCCTCTGGAGGGGATATCCAGAGACATTTAGGCTCAGTAATATAACCAGTCTTGCACCAGTTTTGCTTACCATCTTCTTTTTAAAATTCACTGTTGTTTCCAAAGACAGCAATGTAATCACAGGTTAAAACTTAGTCAAATAGAATTCACCATAGCTCCTTAAATTAATTAAAGTTGGAATGGCATTATGTTAACTTCTTATTTTTAAAGTGTACGTGGATCTATCCTGTACACCTCAAGTCTTGCGTGACAGCTTTTTAAAATGCTTCACTGTTCACAATGGACACAACAACATCTCAGTGATATGGGTTCTTAACCAGAAAAGGCCTGTGACTCATAGGAATTGCCTAAATCTTCAGGAATTTTGAGAAAAAGGTCTCATGACCAAAAATAAGTTCTCACTTGGTAATTTAGTTGGCTTAGTTAAAAAGCTCTAGTTATGTACCCATTCATCTACTACGATACATTATTTTTCAAACTACTCACACTGTAGAATATTTACCTGTGTTTTACTTGACAGAAGTGTTAGAAAGTTATACTAAGATTCCACATGCTCTTTTTTCATGAACTCCAGTTTTGAGTTTATGCACTCCTACTGCAGGCAAACATGAAAAGGTATCATTCACCTAAACACAGCTCCTGTTAAAAACTCCCTGTCCTACTTATATCATTTCAAGGAGGAAAGCAGGTATGTTAACAGAATAGTAATGTTTCACAGCTAAAAGGCAAGCATCACCTGCAAAAAAGAATCCCTGGTCAGGCTATAAAAGACAAGGCTCAAACACTGTATTCCACCATATAACAAAGCTAAGATCACAAGAACAATGTTGCATCACAGCCGTGTCTAGATCTCATGACCTGTTCGTTTTGCAGTCATTAGGGGACTTGATTTTCCATACAGACCTTGTGAGAGAACAAGTTCAGGTGGCAGTTTGAGGGACCAGTCAATCCCTCACACACAAACCTTGTCAGAGCTGGGACCCACCAGAGCCACAGACCCCTGAGCCAAAGCACAGAAGTTTCTGTGCTAGCCATTCCTCCCTGTTCCATAAACGTCACAATCCATTACTGTGTTCTGGGAAAATATGCAGGACGTATTAACATTAACACTAACACTCACAGAGAACACTACAGCACGAACACCACACATCTCTGAAGCCTCAGGGCATGGAAGTCGCTTAGGACTGAAATTGCACGGTGATACTTTCAGGTGTTATGTGCCACATGAAAGCTAGACATAAAGGAAGAATTACAGCAACAGCAAAGCATCAGAAGTCTGTTCAACAGCACTTCGTTGCGTACAGACAGCTAGGAAAGAAACAGCGCCATCTGATGGATTTAAGCTTCGTTTCCAATTGTTTAGTTGATCTTTGCTCAGTTTTCCCAAAAGCTTCAGTCAAAACAAAACAGCAAAATGTCAGTGTCCTGATCCAGCTTTAACAATACTCTCACAAATATTAAACACGGTTTCACAGTTTCAGGTTGTGCTGAAGGCTGCATAGGGACATACCCGTCTGTCAACATGGAATAGCTATACTTTGTTCCCAGCTCTCGCTGTCTCATCCACTCCACGACATTCTGCAGAACTTGAGGAAAAGTATCAGCTTTATCAACAATGTCCTAAGAGAAACAAAAAAACAACCCTAAAGCAAGGAACATTTTTTCAGGAAAAAAAAACCCAAAAGCAAACCAGCGTGAAGCGTAAAAATTATACTGGTATATGGGTACTTACAAAGTTGGCTTTACCAAAATCTTTAGAAAACCAGATTACACGTTAAAAGACAACTGTACAGATTTGTCTAAACTTAAAAATATCACCACAAAAGCATCACTAGAAGAGCCGACCTCCTAATAGCTTCTGCAAAGGTAACGAGGTTAGTCAGCAGCCGAACTTTGATTGGAACCTTTTGAGGTTGTTTCCCAGGCTCCTGCTCAAGTTATTTGACCACAGGCAATTGCCATCCTAATACTCTAGACTCTTTAGAATTAAATCTTAGAAAAGGAACTGATGCAACTCAAAAGGTGCTTTCCTCTGCTAAAGACTAAGTTTCTACACATGAATCACAAAGTGAGTGCTTTTCCCTACAAAATGACCAATGTAGTGAAATCAATTATGTGATATTGGGATAGGGGAAAAAACAAGGATTAAGAGAACAGGCCTTACAGAAAAATAGCCATATGAAAGATTACCATTTAAGATTACCAGTCTGAAAACATCAACAACACATCACTCTTTTTTTCATATTTTTCCCTTAAGAAATGAAAGTGCAAATTACCTGGGTTATTCCTGTCAGATTGATGCAGAAGTTTGAAAGCTTGGGATTAATCTCTGGCTTCACGTATTGTTGAAAGGTATCCTCCTGTAACGAGAGAATCAAATGCTCAGTTGTAGCACACTGTGTAGCCCAAAACACAACATTTCTCTGGCTTGCCTACAGCCCAAAGGCAACAGCAGCTACTTGTCCTGCTGGATGCAAAAGGGAGTGTGTACCTCCTGAGCCAGTATGAGCCTCCTGACTGGCCACCATCAGATTCCTAATGGGATGGATGGCTTTCCAACCAGAACACGTCCTTCCTCTCAGCCAGTAGGCATCATAGAGCACGAATGTGGATTTAAGAGGGGAGAAGGGCAGACTGCAAAAAAGGGGAGGATTTGGGAAAAGGAGAGTGGGAGTAAGGAAAAAGAAAAGAGAGGCATGAGCAGAGCCTTATGTCTTTTAGGTGGTATCCAAAGGCTCACCTGCAATTCAAGGAAAGCAACTGGCTGCACATCTCAGGGGCTGCATGCAAGTTCTACACCTCTGGATGCCAGCCAGGCAAAGATAAACACGACCTCACTCTGGGAAACTGAGCAATACAGGAGTGAAGACTCAGGCAGATTTCATGGAAAAAAGCGAGCCCCAAATCCCTGCTGCTACAACAGCACAAAACCTTTTGGACAGAAGACGTGGTGTTTCCTACCACTCTAAAGGTAACAAAAACAATCTTAGTAATCTGCATAATCCTCTTTCTGCAATTAGTCATACACGCAGCTACATTCTAATGCAGCAGCACAGTGATTACTGGAAATCCTCTTCCTCTTAGTTCTTGATAAATGAACCATTAGTCAGAGGTGTGTGCACATCCTCTGTTTCACTGAGTCACTTCAGCAAGAAGTTTCTCCTAGAAGAAAGCTGTACAGCAACAGAGCACTTGAAGCTGCCAAATGCCTACGAAGTATGTTTAAAATCGAGTTATGCAGCTGTCAATCTGTCAGGTACATTGTAGAAACAGTGTAGCCTGACATAAGTGGAGTTCACTCAACCTCACTTTCTAGACCTCTGCATTAGTGTCTTCCGGACTGCCTCACACAGGACCACAGAATTTGCTAATTTTTGATTATGATGAATACCTTGATTCCTAGAAATAGATTTATGGATCTTAAAGCATGTAAAGGAAGGCCAGGGGAGAACAGACACGGACGACTGAGAAGCTCACATCAACAGAAGGGGTCAACAACAGGAGAATGATCTATTCCAGCTGCTTTCAGAACAGAAAGAAAGTTTTGTTTGTACTTAAGAGGCACAGAGGATAGCTCTTCACGGAAAAAAGTATGTTGTTTTTAACAAAGTTCAACATCTACCTAAAAACTAATAATAGACTTTCAGATGCAAAGAAGTTACACCAAAGAACAGCAAACCAACACAGCAACTAGATCACTTACTATTTCCAAGGTACGTGTGTTTACTAAGACAACAGGAAACTCAATTATTTCATGTACAAATTCAGGTGGGTTTCCTTCTTCACATGTTGCTTCAAAGTCAACGACACAGATGTAGTCGTAACAGCTCTCTCTGCTAATGTGTTCCTTCTGCATCAGCTTCTGTTTCTTGTAATAGTTTTTCAGTCTCTTTTTCAGTACATCTTTCACCCCTCTGAAGAGATAAATGACAAAGATCGCACTCTGGTTTAATTAATTATTTCCCCACTGCAGAACTGAAGCTGTATTTAACATCTGAAAGTTCATAATTTATTAACCTCATTTTGAACACCAGCACTTATGAAGCCTGAATTCGACTTGATCATACAGTTAACGATCCATTATTTGGAATGGATATTTTGGCTGTGATACCCCCCAGCAACTAACACATCAAGACAATACCAGGGACAGACCGGGAAGCACAGCACAGAGACAATCCACAGTCACCTCTAGTTCAGCAAGACTCAGTAGCCAAAGCCTTTGCAAAGCCCAAGTCTTTGTAGATTGCTGCCAGATGACCTCTGGCCCTGGGAGCAGCACTGCTTCACTTGTATTTCCCTGTGCACTCTGCCTGAAGTAGCTCATGCACGAGGTCTTTTCTGCCTCAGTGGCACAGATAATGCAGAACCCAGCTAAACCCCCCACATTTTAAATTCCTCTCAATTTAAATTAATTAAACAGACTTTGAATTCAATTAAAACAAAGTGCTCAAGATTTCAGTTGTCAGAAAAACCTGCTGGTCGAAATCTTGTTTTTCAGGTTTGTGGCTATACATAAACTCACAGCAGAAAGCAATTAAAGTTACTTCATGTTTTTAATACAAACATAATATGCAAGTGCAGGTACCAGAACTGCCACTGTACCAAACCAAACCAGAATGAACAAGGATAAGCTACTTTTTGAAGGAAGTTATTTTCAAAATTAGGCGTTGCAAATGAAATCAGAGAAGCTGTAAGAAATACTTGTAGCAAGAGGTATTATCAGAAAAGCAGGCCAGTGATCCACAGGATAAAACTGCTAACTACTAAACCTGCATTTGAGAACATCAGCTGCTTCTGCAGAGATAACTTCATCACTCTGGTTTTTTAATCTGGTTTAATTCAATGAGCAGTTCATTCAAAACTGAGACAGTATGGGGAGCTGATGGAGGGGGAAATTACCTTTTTCTTCATCAAACTTATAAAAAGAGTTGAAAAGAGGAGACAATCTGCTATCACAATACCCTCAAGGGATCGTGTGTGGCAATCTGCTCAACTCTCTAATTAGAGCTGATGTTTACAGGTAAGACATAGTCTGACTAACTTAACTGGATATATTGAGAAAAGAAACCACATTTAGGTAAAAGAGAAGTTTAAAGCTTTTTGTGTTTACAGTTGAATAAAATAACCTAGGAGGAAACCACAAACATATCATATACTGTTTGAATTCTGCTTTTTACTTTTAGATCACATTAACTATCAAATAGCTGTACAAATCTAACCTGTTTTACTGAAAATTTTCTCAGGTAATGATAATTTTTTTTTCTTCCTGAGGCACTAAGTTAATTTAACCAAAGGAAGAATTGAAAAAAATATGCAGTCAGAACATCTGCAGACAGATATGTTGGAGGTAGCAGGCTGCACTCCCCTCCTTCACACCAATTTTTTTCCTTTGATTCTGTTCAGATCAATCTCTGCTAAATCCCTTTTTTTCCCCCTCTGAACAGTCTCTCCCCTACAGTCTCTGTCTTCTCTAGTTTGTAGCAAGTAGCCCAACTATACTGGTAACAGGAAATAAAACTATGTTCTGAAGCAAGTTTTCTACACACTGAAGATCCGCAACATCACCTGAGAATGACTGCAGTTCTTCTTTTCCCCTTGACCAAAGACATGATATGAGAAGTATCCTACAGTTTGATATTCTTTCATTTCTTTGGGTTACCAGTTGAGACAGCATATATTAGGCAGTATGCATTAATGCTACAATAAAAGCTGCATCACAATTGCATGGAAAACAACTGGTGTTTGGTGCTGTGTTTGCTTTTCACTCTGTGCTGAGCTTTTAAACTTTAAAATAATCATCCTTTATGGCTCTACTGTTCTTAAAGATAAATCAAAATGTTCACAAATGAGCCAAACCTGGTTTCAAGCTTGAACTCTGCAAGTTTACTTCTGAGCTCTTCTCTGGTCATCCTGTTGATGTAACCATTAGTTAAAGAAATTTCTTTGTAAACAGGATCACTGAAGTCATTTGAACTGGCAGCTGAGGTTTTGCCATTAGTTTCTTGATCATTGATCCTACAATGCTGCCTACCCTAAAAGAAAGAGAAATCAGAAAGTCATTGAAGAAGGTCAAAACAAAAACCCAGAGCATTTTACAGATCGTCTTGGCATCAAGATACAGTAAAGCATCACACTGTTACACTTGTGATCAAACTGAGCGAATTAGCTTATAGATGGGCAAGAAAATCAACAGTGAAGCCTGCTCTGAAACACGATGTTCCTAAAAAGCAACAAACAGTAAAGGGATGCTAATGCACGTGTCTTTTGCCATGCCGAAGTGCATCTCTCTGAGACAAAACTTGAACGAGCATCCCAACTTCAACAGAAAAAAAAACCAAAAACGAGTTCTCTGGTGCGAGCTGGCAGAGCCTTCACCAGCATCAAGGGGTCTCTCTCGACGCTTCAAACTAACCAGAATCCACAGAGTGGGACACAATAAACCACGACGAAAAACCCGGGGCACTTGGGCTCCCGACCGCTACTCGCGGCCTTTGCGGGGCGCGGGCGGCGCCTCTCCGAGGGGCGAGCGCCGGGAACCCGGGGCAGCGGGGCAGGGCCGGGCGGGCCGGGCGGGCCGCCATGGGCGGGCGGGGGTGTGCGGGCCCCCGGCGGGCCGGGCCAGGCCGAGCCGGGCCGGGCCGGGCCAGCACCGCTCCCGCCGCCCCGCACACTCACCGGCGGGCAGGCTGCGGGGGCGGGCGGCGCCCGCGCCTCGTCCGGGGCGGCCTCCGGGCAGTTCTCCTTCTGCTCTTCCATGGCGGCAGCGGCGGGAACCGCGGCGGGGACGGCGGCCCGGCGGGGGCGGGCAGAGCGCGGGGCCCGCCCCTGGGCGGTGCTGCTGCCCCTCCGCCAGCGCCGGCGCTCGGCCGGCTCCGTGAGAGCCGAGCAGATTCGCGGACCCGCCTCCCACTTTCTCCCCCTTCCCGGGCCGCCTCGTCCCCGGCTGTCCCGTCAGCCCCCAGCCTTACTCCCCTGCAGCAGCACCTGCTCCTCATGCTGCTGCCTCGCTCCTCCTGAGCTTTTGCCCAGCAGTGCCCCCTGGGCTTGGGGTCACGGCAGCTCTCTGGAAGCTCTGCCTGTGTTACGGGAAACACACGCTGGACCGACACCTCATCTGTGCTGCCATGTTCCTCCTCGTGAGACTGACTTTGCGCCGAGCACCCTAAACACGGCTCTGGGATACCCGCGGGATGGGGGCAGCCAGGTCATGGCCTCCACGGCGATTCAGCTGGCCCCCAGCCCCTTCCTGCCGGGGAAGCTGCCTTGCCCACTCTTCCCCACATCCCTTAATTCAGTGTCAGCAAGCAGGATGGGGTGGGTGACATGAGACATGTGTGAGCCCTCTGGGTCTTCTTGGCCAGGAGGTGAAGGCGAGCAGAGAGGACTCTCTGTTCATCACAGGACAGTTAATTTTCTGCTGGTGCTTCCCACAGCCCTGAATTGCAGTTCAGCGTCCCTCAGTGATGCAGGCTGATGCGTGTGTCACCCACCTGAAGCAACCGTGCTGATACCTCTACATCTGCCAGCCACTAAGCAGCTTAGGATCTTTTCTTCTGCCCTGCTGTGGTTTGGGGCCCCACCACCAACCCACAGTCATGCCTCCTGTCTCACGCTGGCATGCCAGCACCTTGTTACAGATGCAGATATCCCTTCCCTTAGACCTGTTGTGTAGCATTACTGTGTTCAGTGTGTGTGCCACAGAGGATTGTCTTGTCTTCTCCAGATGAGAGTGGTGGTGGAAGTAGGGTCACACACAGCTGCTTGGTACTGTGGGTTTTCTGGTTTCATCTGGGATACAGTTAAATTTCTTCTTAGAAGCTGGTGCAGTGCTGTGGTTTTTCTGGATTTACTACAAGAATGTAGATAACACACTGATGATTTAGTTGTTTCTCAGTAGTCCTAACTCTCTAAGTAAGTCATGGACTTTTCAGTTTCCTATGAGTAGGTGGAGAAGCTGGGGAGGAAGCACGGCCAGGACAGCTGACCTGAACTGGCCAAAGGCATATTCCATACCACAGAGCATCATGCCAGTTTATAAAACGGAGGATGGGGGAGTTGGCTAGGAGCTGCTGATTGCTGCTGGGGGACAGGCTGGGCCTCGGTCAGTGGGTGGTGAGACAGTGTACTGTGCAGCACTTGTCTTTCTTGGGTTTTAATCCTCTCTCTTTCATTGCAATTATTATCATTAGTATTATTATATTTTACTTTGTTTCGATTATTAAACTGCTCTTATCGCAACCCACGGGTTTTACTTCTTTCCCTACTCTCTTCCCCACCGGGGGGTGCTGGTGAGCAAGCAGCTGTGTGGTGCTTAGTTGCCAGCGGGGGTTAAACCACAGCAGGGGGAGGGGACTCGCTCCCTTTTTTAATTCACCCTCCTAGTGGTGCCGCTAACGCCCCTGCTGCCAAGCAGAGGCCCATCTATCTTAGTGCTCTGCCTCCGAACCCTGCTACGAACCTGAGCAGGGTTTGCAGGGAACCAAGCTCTACAAGAATGCACACATGGTACCAATGTGAAGCACAGAGCTGGCATCACAAACCCACAGAACACCCTAAAGGCACTGGGGGAAAAAGCTGTTTGCCAGAAATCACCTGCCTTGCTGGACTGGGCCCTGGTTCACTGATACTAATCCAAACAAGGGGCTCTATTCTCAGATTCACTCAATGCCAAATCTCTTGATGATTCTGCTAACAGCACAGATCTACAAGACCTAGGTGCAGACCACTCTGGAGGCAGAGCCCAAGGAGGCACTGTAAGAGCAAAAAGAAATCACACAGCCAGGACTCTCCTGGAGATTGAGATCACTTTTATTTTCAGTCATTTTGGCGAGGATGTGTGGGCAAGTGTGGGTGTAGTGCGTGTATGTCTGGGCATGCATGTGTGTGTGTGCGCGCAGAGTCCTGCCCAGTGATGTAGATTATATGAATACCTGCAGTTACAGTCCATGAACTGAGCCATGAAGCGTGTGATGAGTGCTACACTGAGGCCCACTTGCTTGCCTCTTCTTGTGCTTACTGCAGTGCAGCATCTCCACCTCCCCACACTGCTGTTCCAAGGATGCCGGCCCAAGATCCCATCCAAAAGGTGCGAGAGGAACCAAGCTCTGGGATCTGGCTCTGCAGGAGCGAGCCAGTGGGTTTTCGCCTCACTTAGTGAGCTCCTAAATAACATTTGCAGTTCCCTTTGACAAAACCGTATCTGTCTCCTCACAGTGAGGAGCCTCTACTGCTTTGACAAATATTAACTGCCTCAGAGGTACAAAGGGGAAGGGGCCCCACGTAAGCTCCAGTGCTACAGCACAGCCAAGCACATCTTGAGTTCCTGGGAAAGCAGCACCCAAATATACTATTGAGTTTTCACAGCCACCATGAAACTGTGGCATAGGGGACACGCTGCAAGGGAGATAACCCATGCTTCTGCAGCCCCCAGTCTCTTCCATCTGATCTGAGAGGCCATAAGGCATGTTAAACCCCAATCTAGTCTCTATTTCTGTTTAACTTTTTAAAGCTGAATCCCCCAAGCTCAGAGCAGAGACAGAATGCAGAAAGAACAGCACTGCTATGGAAGGAGACTAATCAAAGGCATCCTGGCCTTGTGGCAGGCTGGAAACAACATTGTTTCTCTGACCTTTTTGCCTTTAGCACAGTTAAGGCAGAAGTGTCCCACCACCCAGGACCCTCTACAGCTGCCAGAAGCCTCCAAGTACCCCTGCAAGCCCTAAGATGACCTAGATGTGCAGCATCATCCTTAGGGGTCTCTCTCACTCACCTCTACAGATCTGTATGCTGCTTAGAGACACGCAATTTCTCACGTCACACAGAAGGCAAAGCTGTTATCCTGGGAATTTCACTTGGACGGATGAAGATTTGAATCCCAGGTTTTGTCTCAGAGCGTAACACAAAGTACTCCAGGACATCTTCAAGCTGCTGTAAGTCCTGCAGTGCAAAGCAGCTCGCCAGCTTTGCCTCCAAACCTGTGTGCACCAGTTTCAGCAGGAAAACAACTGGTCAACAAGCAATGGGTCTGCAAACCAATAAGCAAAACCAGCACAGTCCTCTCAAGTGAAGTAGCCATCTAGTACCAGGAGATTCTCCTCCTATTCCAAAAAGGTTAGATTCATTGTCAGCTCCACAGGAAGACAATTGAGTCCCCAGTCCTTTCTGACCTCTTTATAATACACTTTGAGTAAAGGCTGCAGGGTGCTCCACAGAGGCCTTAGTCATTTCTAACAGTTCGGTAACTCTCCGAGCAGGGACAAGAGCAGGAATGTAACACATGCTTTAAACTCAGGTATCTGCTCTTGGGGCAGTACATTCAAGCCCTCTTTCCTTGTGGCTTATCTCACGAAAAATGACAGATTCTTCAAAAACACAGGGCCTGCATCCCTGGGGCTCAGGAATCTGAGTGGAATCCAAGGCAGGAGCTCAGCAAAGGGACATTTTGCACAGGATTTGAGGATGCATCCTTAAAAGACAGTGACAGCAAAATCAAAAGTACTATCAGCCACTTGGCTTGGTTCTCCTGCACTGATCTCCCACCTGGCAGTTGCAAAGGGGAGATGTTTTTGAACTGCATAGAAAATTAAATGGCTTTTGCATATTAAAAAAACTCAGATGAAAACACAGTTACACCAGCTACTAAACAGTGGGCGGATGAGCAATCACCGTTTCATATTAAATAGACCCAACTAGATCAACCTCCATACTGCCACACTCCCAGCATTACAGCTTCAGTGCACAGCAGCCAGACTGAGTGCCTGCAAAGGCCAGCTAGTGCCGTGCTCCCACAGAGGTGGCCCAGCCCGGCTGGAGGGCTGCAGTCCCAAGGAGCAGGCTGTAAGACATCTGCTCTGTCCTCTCACTCCTTCAGCGCTCACGCATCTCAGACCAGATGGGCACACTGGGAAACAGGCCTCCGGCTGGAAAAGGATTCCAGTTTGTGGTTTCTTTACAATGTGGTTTCCACGCAACGTCACAGCAACAAATCGCTAGTTTCTTCCTATGGAGAATGGAAAGAGAGGTGAGTAGCAGCAAAACAGGAGGAGAAGGCTGCCCAGCATGGCAGGTGACACTAGGAATGCTCTAACACAAGTTCTGCCTGTACCAGGGCCTTTCATGTCTCATGGGCAGCAAGACCTAGGACAAGAGAGTTTTCCAGCATTATTCCCGACACCATTCAAAGATCTCACCTTCCTTCCACTTACTCCAGCCACCACAGGCAATTTTGAGTTCCCAGTTTACCCACAGCAACGCAGAAGCACAACCAATTAATTACTCTCACTGGCATAAGAAGGTTCATTGCCAGAGGTGGCAGGTCAACATATGAAATCTGAGCCCAAGCTCCCTCCCAAGCTGGAACGATACCCTGAAGAGACATGAAGCTGACTGAGCTGCCAGCTTTCATTTGGCAGCTTTTCCCCCCTGAAGTGAGGTACATGGCTTGATTTCTTCTACCTGGCCTCTCTGCAATCTCCTGCTAGAGTGAATAGTGCCCTTCATTTCCCAGTGTTAAGTTCTTGCCAAGGGGGGTATTTGCAGCCTTGCACACAAGGCTGGTATTTGAAGGATCAGAAGCCAGGGGAACATCATCTGTGCACAGCAGCAGGTTCCAGCAGGATGCATGTCACTGTCCTGCCCTGACTGCAGGCCTGGCCAGCTCACATCCTGGTGGGTACTGCCTGCTGACTAGTACCACCCATCCCAGATCTGCCATCACACCCCAAATTGCTAGGAGTTGTAGGTTAACACATGTATTTTAAGTCCCTCATCTCTCAGACCTTCATCCACATCTCATCAAGACATCCTGGCTCTGGAAATACCTGCCTCCTATTGATTTATACCAAATCGAATATTTGCATGGAGCAGGACTCATACAGCACAGTTACCAGGGCTCAGCTGTAGGGCACAAACTGACAGCAACATCTTAGAAGTCCTCAAAACCATCCAGTCAGAGGAGATACCAGCACTGTGGTGCCGGTGCTCAGCCTGCCCTTTTCCATATCTGGAGAGGGAGAATGGCTGCTCGTGAAGCACAGCTGATAGGATCAGCCCAAGGGATCAGGGCCAGTTTGTACAACACAGCCCACACATTGCTTCACCAGATCTCTGCACAAAGATGCCTGAGTGGCTTTGCTAGGAGGAGGACCAAGATCTAGATTTTTACTGCTGTAGTGGACACAGTGCATGAAGAGTACCACAATGGCACTACCAGAGCATCCAGACACGGCAGATCAGAAGCTGTTGGGGGCTAGGGATAAGGACCAAATGGCAGGTGCCAGAGGCAAACTGGCTGCCCTGCTTTCATCGCTGTGTGATTACAGCACATCCTTACCACCTTCATGGCACAGCGTATGTGAACGCACAAGGCAGGAAAAATTTCCCAGCCTTGCTTCTCCTCCCGCTCTGCCAGCTACCGCCCAAGTCTGCTGCATGGGACACAGCCAACTGTTTTGTGATGGAGCAATTGTAAAGGTTTCACAGCACCAACCCACTTCCCAACAAAGCCTTGGCCAACTGCCACAAAACTCACTTGTCCAGGAACAAATCCAGGGAATCCAGCTACAGCTCATTTCAAGATACTTTCCTCCAAGCAGGTCTGAATTAAATGGTACCAAGAACATTTTTACATTCACCATGAGATCCAAATGGTTTTTCAACACGCAATCAATGGGTCCACAGAAACCTATCCCCAGTGCTTTCCCTCTGGCCAGCGGCCCTGCCATCTGCAGCAATCACTTTGCTTCATGCCTCGTTGTGATCCCCAGCCTCCAGATGACTGCATCCACTCCAGCCACGAGGCCCCAGCCTGGGAGCTGCCCCTGCCCCACAGCATTTCAGAGTCCAAAGTCCCATTGATCCCCGTCAGCATACAACTCCACAACTGGAGAGATGGGAGCACTGCAGAGCATCAGCCATGTTCTGCCCGGTGGAAAACCTTTGGCACCAGCACTGACGGTTTATCTGGAAAAGAAAAGGATAAAGAAAAAGTAATGTAGCACAAGCAGCAGGGTTCATAATGCTTGTGATGAATAATCTAAGACACACAATTTTTTCTAGACTTCTAAATAGGGAGGGTGAGGTCTTTAAAAGTAACACAGGCCTTTTTGAGAACACAAGTTTCCTGCCAGCAAAGTGACTGTGAAACTGGGACACAGTTAACAGACGTTGTGGAAGGCAGGCTGGAGGACAGGAGGACAAGTGCACAAGCACAGCCTGCCAGCACAGTACAACAAAAACTGCAGCCTTAGGTTAGAAACATGATGTGCCAAGTACACACACAGAAGGACCAAATGAACGGGCAGTAGTGACCTGTGGCTCACTATCAAGAGTAGCAGCCCTGTTTCCTGCCCCAAGTGGGCACTTCAACATCACCTTCACACACAGCCCAACACCCACCCATCAACCAAAGCTATTCTCCATCAAGATACTTGATTTTGGAATGGGAGGGTACTGAACAGAGAGAACAGCATCTAAAGCTCCTGTCAGACACCGAAGTGAAATAGGCATTCACATACAGTACAGCAGCAGCCACCCGCAAGACACTCAGCTTGCTCCTTTAAGCGCCCTACCAAATTCCCTTGTACCAGTTCAATTAGAATAGACCGTGGCTGAAATTCTGTTCTGAAAGCTAATCTATGCGTCAAAAAGCCAAGGCACTGGCTGTTTTTGTGAGTACTGTTCCACTCACATTTGTTCCCACCACAGTACATCTCTGTTTTTCAAGCACATTCCCGCGCTGTGGAATGCAGGACATAGAGGCTATAGGTACACAAGACGGCAGGGCTTCTGTCCAGGAGGACCTCACCAAGTTGGAGGACTGGGTCAACAACAGTGCTGTGAAATTCAACAAGGACAAGTGCACAGCTCTACACCTAGAACAGGACAACCCCATGCACCACCATAGCCTGGGGTCCAGCTGGCCTGGGATCTGGGGGAGAACATGTTGAACACAAGCCAGCAGTGCATCTTCAGTGCAATGAAAACCAAGCTGTAATAAGGGAGACACAGATGGGACAGAAGGAAAAACAGTTCTGTCCCAGGAGAAGAGTGTAACTCTGGAGTCCAAGAGAGGTGGTAGCACCTCCATCTTTGTCATCCAACTGTCACCTAGCAATTTGACCTGGCTGTGAGGGTGGTCCTGTCTGGATCAGTGGGTGGACAGAAATCTCCCAAGGTCCCATCCTACTAAAACCCACTCATGACTGCATTATCTCCTGATCTGTCCTGCCCACTCTGTGTCTTGCATCTGCTGCAACACAGCTCAGAGAACACCTTAGCCCATTTCACTGTACTTCTTATCCTTTGCGTGGGCTGCCTATATCCACGAATAATTAGAACAGTCCCCTGGCTGTGGGGCTGCTACCTTCCAGAAAAAAAGTGCTTAGCAAGGGCATGTTTTACATAGTCTTTCTGGAGTCTACTGACAGGGGAATAGGTCTGTTTTCTGGTCTCACTTGGAACAAGGGCTGATCACAGTAGGAGTGGGGGGGTAAACCAAGGCAACATTAACTCGCTCGCTGCCGTTCTTGGGACAGATGATCTCCGTCAGTCCCTCCGGTCTTGGCTGACTCAGCAGTTCTCCTGTGAATAAAGGAAAACAACAATATTTAACCATCAGCAAGGCACATCCTGCAGTTTTTGCTTTTAGCATGCCCTTTCCCTCCCCTCCCCTCCCCAAGTAAGTATCCATGACTGATGCAAGTGAGCACTGTAAGAGGGCTTACTGGTCCTGCAACCCAAGCAATCCCATCCATGTAGCCACGGTGAATGTCCTGGTGCTTACAGCTTGGAGACACGCTGGTTGCCACAAATGTAGCATCTGCCATCTTTCCTGTCTCTGTTTCGAATCACTGCACTCAGACTCAATAGCTCCTTAGGGATTCATAGCATCTAGATGGAAGATTCCCTAACACCCCTCTCCCTGGGTGCACTTGCCACAACTGCCACAGGACTGCTGCTGCATCCTGTCAGGGCCCTTTGCTATACTACAGTCTGCTGAGCATGCGGATCCAGCTCCCAGCTGTCAGCTCCTCCATAATGGAGGCGACATCAGCTCTGTATTGAGTCGGTAGCTGGGGCGGGGGGGAAGGCTCTCACAACGCATGGTATCCCTCTGTGAAATGAATTGCGTCAGCTCCGCTGCCCAAATGCCAAGTTGGCAGCTCCCCACTGCTGGCACCCTCGCAGCATGGAGTTCAGGGCAAGACACAGGTCAGCACAGTGAGAGGGGAAAGCCAGGTGCTGAGATATGCCCAGCTCTGAGGAACACTTCCCCAATAGCTCGCTCAGAGCAAATCAAGTTTCCTCCTGGCTCCACTCCACACATGACTGGCCTCAGCAGGGCAGATCCCCCAGCCATCAATATGCCACATCCTCAGCATAGTCCAGCCACAGCTTAGACCTCCAATAGCAGTAGAAAGACCTCTTGATACCTGTCTGGCAGGTAGGGTCTGCTCTCAAAGGCAATATGGGATGACAGCATCCATGCCCAGCAAGGGCTCAATTCTTCTGAGTGTGCCTATATTGCTGCTAACAGACCTACCCAGAGCAGAGGCACCAGCCCACAAGTGGCTCAGTCAGTGACTTTCTTTATAGAGGCAGGCCAGCTGTAAGTGGGCTGCAGCCACAGGTGCACACAAAACTCTCTGGACCCGTCAATCAAGCAGCCACCATGAGCCGTCCCCACTTCCACTAAAACAGTCAAGACAAGTGGTCCTTGGACTCCTCTATTTTTAAATGCACTTGCAATAAATTCCTCTCCTGTTAAAGAACATCAGAAAATGTCTCCTTGTGTCTAAGCTGAGATTGTCAGGCACCCCAGGAAAAACTGTAAAGAAATCACACTTTGCAGAAGTACTGCCCAGCCTGTGCAGCAATGGCACAACAGTCAGCCCCATCATACCTGAAGCCCTACAAATGCTCCTTCCCTCTCACACAGTTTCTCTTCTCACTTTCATGAAACAGCAGATCTGAAATGCCTTGGTTTTTCCAAAGCACATTATTTCATATCATGGAAACAGAGGGGAGGGCTTGGTAGGAACACACACAGTTCCCCTTGAGAGATACCCCACTTGTAAGGCCAGTAATTCCAGTTTGCCCCCATGGTCTGCAATCAGAATTCACATTTGGTTTGAGTATCTCCCCTGTCTCACACCTACACTCAAACCTGAACTGGCAAAGCAACTTTTGAGCAAGGAAGACACTTCTCCCAAACAAGAAGAATCGTGATGGCAATTTGCAATTCAAAGTTAAGTCTGCAAGGCAGCGTCCTCAATTACATGAGCTGTCACCCTTTGAAAACAGCATTGCATTCCATCAAGCACGTACGCCACAGGGCTCCACGTCCCAGCAATTCCCAGTTTCCAATCCCAGGTTGACTTCCAAACTGCAGTATTGCTAACTGCACTGAAAACACTATCTCTGAAAGATGAGTCATAAAATCAGTGCACCATTATGCGCTTTAAAGACAGGGCAAACATCCATTAGATCTTAAACCAGAGGAGTGAAATAAGACTGGTCTGTCTGCTTGAGCCTTCATTCCGATTTCCATCTTCCCACTTCAGAAATACTTAGATGGTGATTTCTAAAGCATAGGAGATTGCTGTAGGGTAATACAGATGCCTGATTTGCAGGCAAATCCCTTCCCTCTGCTCTTCAGTCACCCTCCTTTTCTTTATGGTTTTACCTTCCCCTCTAGGTTGCCTCTGGGATAAAGCTCACCTCACTCTGTCCACAGTCTCATCCACACCTCCTGCAGCCCCACTCCTATTTCCTGCTGTCATTCACACTGTTCCCCAGGAGAAAGGCTTTTCTCACAATTGCTCCATGAGATATATCGTGCACCAAGTGGATAGAAGGTTACCTGTACATCCTTCCTATTCCTCCCTCTCTCAGCTACAGGATGTCCCACTGCTTTTCCACTATAGTGTTCTCATCCCCGTCTCTTCGCAAACTGGTCATCTTTGCTGCACAAACTCATCACAATACTAAAGCAGGTATAACTGTCTAAATCACATTTCACATCACTGCTGAATAAAAGCCAATGTAAATTCGATTGCAATATGCAATCTTAGAACTGTAACAAGCATTGAGACACACTGCTTGGACACAACTCTCCAGGCCCAGAATCTCTTGGAGGTTTCAGATACCTCACATTTCTATTCAGAAATTATTCAAACTGTAGGAGATTAGAAATAGAGGTCTTCAGGGCTACAGTAGGGTGGGGAAGAGGAGATCCAATGAAGTATTGTACTGATTGAGGCAAAAGGAAAAGCTAAATGCCTAGCATGTGGTGGTGTTTGCTTGGTTTAAGTGCAAAGTTTAAATGCAGCTGGAGCAGCTCATGTCTGCAGCACTTGTTCTGTCCCTGTGTACAGGCTACCCAGTCTGTATTTTGGTTGCACATTCCTCCATGACCATGTCACAAATTTTACTGGAAACTTCAGTTCCGCCTGCCCTCTCTGAAAGATTGCCTGCAACAGCACACACAGCCACGAAGCTTATCCTAGTCTCGACATGGACTTGGTTTTAATGTTAACTTCCACAGAAGCCACTAAGGTTTTAACCAAAATTCCAACTACTTCGTCTTAAGGCTAAAGACTAAGACAGTTGAGTGAAGAACAACATCACTTTTCAGTAGACAAATCTGCAGCACTTAAGATGATTCATCTGATTTGAGAGCATGAGCCCAGTTTGCAAAGGCACTTTAATGTTGGGTATTTGCTGACCAAGGCCTGATGTTTACATGCATCTAAGTCCCAGTTCAGTTGATAGCAGGGAGGCACCTGCCAAGCCTGGTTAAAAGCACCTGTAAACAGAGCAGATGCTTTGGAAGATGCTCCTTTGCTGCATCTCCATTTGCAATGGCACAAATAGTGCAGAAAAGGTGTATCTGTCCCATGGCCACCTTCCTGGTGTTTTGGCACAGAAACATGGTCTCCACAACTGGGTAAAATGTGCTGTACAGCAGGCTAAGGTTGAGACAAAAACTAAGACCCAGATATGAAACTACCATGGTCAGTTTGGCCACAGCATATATAAGCTGGCTTGTAAACTCCCCCCCCAGGCAGATGGGCTGAGTGAGTCACGCTGCCCACACCATTTAAAAGAAACCTGCTACACATGGGCAGTCACAGGGAACGGCAGGAAGAAACCTTCAGCCATGCTCAAAGCTCTACCAGAAAGGCCTGTTTCCCCAGAGCATTAGCCAGCTTACCGGAAGCAGATATTTCTATGTCAGCAAGATGTTTTTCACTGCCACTGTTTTATCACAGAATGGACACATCCAACTTAGAGCCACTTGCACTGGGTTCCCAGGCCAGGCCAACGCCTGCAGCCAGCAAGGATAACTGCATGTGCCAGACAAAGCTTAACTGTGTATCACCACTCAGTGCACAAGGAAGACATTTCTACTGCCGTATATGCCCAGAAACATGGAAAAGCATGAGACCACAATTTTTGGTCAAGTACACAGTCAGTCACATTATACCTTCTGTCCTTGATTTACTGTGATTTGGGGAGGGATGCCTCCCTCAGAGCCCATGCCAGCCATCAGACCCACACTTGCTGCAAAGCACGCTTCACTGACCCTTAGGAAATACCCGTGAAATGCCAGATACCCATGACAAATCAGGGAGTTAGGAGGGAGGCTGACAGCAAGAAAAGAGAGTACTTGCAGAAGTGTTTGGTTACTCCATGCTGGCAGCCAGACAAGGCCAGCTGTAAGCCTACTTGGCTGTTTAACAGAGAGTAAGGTTTTGAATACAAGGAAGAAAATCCCATCATTTGCCTTCACACAGTTCCCACTGCCATGGCTGTGCTAAGTGGCACAAGGTTCCCTGTTCACATATCAAGAATTTGCAGCAAGGGCGTAAGGATGAGACACTCTGTCCAGCCTGCCATGCCATCTCCTCTCTCTTAGAGCTCCCAGGAGAAGACATTTGCACAGTATCAGCCTGATGATGTTTGTCATTTTCATGCTGTCATTGCTGCTGTCTGGGCCCCACTGGGACACACTGCAGCAAGTAGCGGATGAGCAGGACATGGCCCTGGCTCTGTGGTGCTGCTTCTCTCTCTTCAGCCTGCCAGAGATCTTGAAGAGACAGCGCCCATGCTTCATGACAGGGGCATGAGACAGCCAAAACCAAGCTGCTCCTACAGCTGCCCTGCTTCAGCACTGACCTACTCACTCTAACACATGTCCCAGAGCTGCTCCGACCATGGTTTTTGCAACCCCACTGCTCATATGCTCTCCTACCCTAAATCCCTTCTCCCTCTGCCTCCTTGCTGAAGGGCTTCAGACAGCAACCACTGCAAGGGGAGTTGACAGGAAATATCTCAGCCTCAACTGCTTCTCTGTCAAGCCTCCTCTGACTAATCTTTGCTTGTGAGATCTCTCAGCACAGCTCTCAGTAGTCATGCCTTCAGGAAAGTAGAGAAGAGAACCCTTCAACACTGCCTGCATACCAAAAGCATCCCATGATTGGTTTCCAACAGCAGTCAGAAAACAGGGCTTACATGACACACCCGGATCACAGGACACCCCTTCGCTTTGCATGCAATCCTACCCCCTGTCATCCAAA